TAATTCCGAAAATACTTTCGAAAATACTAAAAGACTTTCGTCCACATTTTGACTCGCTCGATACATTTATATCGCGGTCACTATTATATACAGCTACTGGCTGGGCACTTCGTGTGTCACCGACTAGTCCTATAGTTCAACAACAACTAGACTCCTGTCTATGGACAGTCAACAGTGGTGCTTCTAAGCACTCCACCTTGAAACGAGAATGGTTCGTCACATACGCAACCTACTCATCACTAGCTGGTGCAGCCGATGGCCACCCACTACACGTCATAGGTCGCGACACAGTTAGACTTTACGTCACTGGCTCCAACGGCGACCCATTGGCGATCTATCTGCAGGATGTATACCACATCCCACAACTACACTTCAACCTCTTTTCCGTTGGTCGAGCCCTACACATGGATCGACACCGAATTGTCTCCATCGATCTCAACGTATGGACTCTAGCGACATACGATGGCGAGTTCAAGGCAGACTATGCGCCGCACTCAGGGTTGTACGTCATACCGACGCTACCCCACATTCATGTGCATGGCCCAGCCACGACTGTCCTTCTGACAAAGTCCAGTGCCCAGGGCACCATGCAGTGGCACCATCGTTTGGGCCACACCAGTCATGACAAGCTCCGCATTCTGCGGCGTCATTCGAACCTCTTCGATTTTCGGATCTCACGGCAAGCCGTCACGGCTCATGCCTCGTGTGACACATGTCTAAGGTCAAAGTCCAAGGTATTTCCCTTTTCCAAAAACAAACTCCCAAAGACGTCGAGGCCTCTCGAACGAGTGCACTCTGACATCTGGGGGCCGATCAACATCCCCTCCATCTCTGAGGGGAATACTTCGTGACATTTATTGACGATTTTACTCGATACACCTTCGTGTACATCATGCAGAGCTGTACGAAAAGTACAGTACTTTCTGCCGGGATGCACGGACGCGCTATCGCTCCGACATCCTCGAGCTATGCTATCATCACTCACCATTAAGTGAGTTAGAGGAAACCCCGAATACGGAACCCGATTGACCTATACGAATGCCTACACGCCGACACAGAATCCTGTGGCCGAGCGTCGTATGGGCATGATCGTCACGATTGCCCGGTCCATGCTACTGCATGGTAACCTGCCACAGTTTCTGTGGGGCGAGGCAGTATCACATGCAGTATTCGTCACGAATATCCTGCCGTCTACCACGATTAGTGGTGACACACCATATCGTCTATGGCATCAAAGCCATCCAGACTACGATCGACTCCGAGTATTTGGATGTGTGGCCTATGCCCATATCAACACACCCATGCGTGCGAACAAATTGTCTCCACGAGGCATGCTGTGCATGTACATCGGCTTACCCGAGACATCTCGCGGGTTCAAGCTTCTTAACATTGACACACACTATGCGTTTCATGAAGGTATAAATTTGGTAGTTTAAATATCCATACGTGCTCACGAGCCGTGATGTCACCTTTGTTGAGCACCAGTTTCCCCTCCTCAAAACAGTTGAGGAAGTCAAACGACAGCGGACTGAGCTTCCACACCGTAATTGTTTTACTGTGGACAATCCACTTCCCCAAACACAACCCCCGTTGCCATCGCATCTTGGGGAGCCTACTACAGCAACCACACCTCTACCCTCACTTGGGGAGGCTTTATACACTGGCTCCACGAGTGCAGTATGGCAAATACCTATAGTACACGACGTACCAGCTCAGAAGCAACTCGTAATTCGGAAGGTTCAGCACCTTCGGGAGGCTCACCGAGTCCTCGTCGACATCGAATCGATCTACACGAACATCAGTCAACGAATATTCCGACTCCGAAACGTCATCGATCTTTGACATTTAACTCGACGACGGAAGTATTTCCCGTCCCGTGTACCTCGTTTCACGAGAAATACAAACTACCTTACTCTGGAGTATGTGAATATGACATTCACCTCCAAGCCAACATTGTCACCTACGACAAACCAGTCGCTCGAGCTCTACCCCGACCCTCGTTGTCTCGAGCGACACCACGTCCACACCAAAGAGGGTGTTATCGTCTCATCGCAGACTTCCACATTGGACACGGCGACGTCAACCTGACGGCCCTGGACGACTACTTATGTCATATATCGAGGACGCATCGAGCGCCCGATCCATCTCGACACCAGAGCGTGTCCTCTCGGCCCTCAAGGTCAAAGCACATACTGAGGAGCTCTCAACATATGCGCAAGCTATGAAGTCTTCAGCCAAAGTGCATTGGCACGAAGCCATGCTGCTCGAATTGGCTTCACATGAGGCGAACATGTCGTTCGAGAGCGCAACATTGCCTCCAGGGAAGTCAGCCCTGAGCGTGCGCTGGGTCTTTAATATCAAAGACGATGACTCAGCCACTGAGGCTACGCGACAGGTCGCCCGATACAAAGCGCGACTTGTCATCCAAGGACACACTCAGGTCCAAGGAGTCGACTTCGAGGAGAGTTACTCCCCAGTCATCGCAAAGGAAATTCTGCGATTGATGCTTACTCTCGGCGCGGTCCTCGATTATGAGATCGACGCGATGGACGTCATCACAGCCTTTCTCAATGGAGAAATCGACTGTGAAGTATACGTCAAACATCCTCCAGGATTTGGCACCGCCAAGCGTCCTCGCGGCGTACTTCAAGTACTTCGAAGCGTCTACGGCCTGAAACAGACACCACGCGTGTGGTTCCAGACACTGGCTACCTACTTGCGCGAGCAAGGGTACACCCAACTTGTCAAAGACAGGTGTGACTTCACAAAGGTTATGAACGGACGATCCGTTTACATCGGCGTACATGGCCTGTCGGCGCGTTTTAAAATGCACGACCTTGGCCACTCAAGTTCATTCTTGGGTTCCACATCGTTCGAGACCGTTCGCAACGTACTCTCACGATGTATCAATCCCAATATGCGACCACTATTCTCAAGAGGTTCAGCATGGAGAATTCCAAACCTTCACCCACTCCCATGGAGGTGAACCTCAAACTCTCTGAGTCGATGTGTCCTCAGGACGAAACTGAGCGCACCTACATGGTGGACAAGCCGTACCGATCTGTCGTCGGGAGCATCATGTACCTCATGATTAGCACCCGACCAGATTTGGCTTACGTCGTCCAGCAGCTCAGTCAGTTCTTAACGAACCCCGGCCCAGCCCATTGGCAGGCAGCCAAGCGAGCACTTCGCTATATTCGAGGCACGATCGACTACGGTCTCGTCTTGGGTGGTGAACACAATGTCACCACTCCGCTGCACGCATTTGCTGACAGTGACTACGTTAATTTCGTTGACACTCGTCGCTGCGTCGCCGGCTTTGTGACATTCTACTGCAACTCTGCGATCTCATGGATCGCTAAGAGACTACGCAGCGTAGTTCTCTCGACCACCGAGGCAGAACTTATGATTCTGTGCACAGTAGCACAAGAATGCTTGTACGTCAAGCAGACAGCATGTGAGATGGGTCATCCCATCACCTCGGCTATCACCCTCCATGAGGACAATCAAAGCACCATCAAGATAGTGAACAACTCTGGTCACCATGGGCGCACCAAGCATATTGATGTGCGCTACCATTTCATCAACGATATCGTCGAACAACAAGTGATTCGACTCGAGCACACAAATACACGACTCCAAGTCGCGGATATCTTCACAAAAACGTTAGACATTACAACGTTCTGCGCACTGCGCAGTAAACTAAGAGTGGAGCAGCTGAAGCCCTCCGACCCCTTTGGCCCACGCCAAGGAGCATAAACTCCGGCCTCTCAGCCCGTGACCAGTCCCGTCATGTACGGAGGACGCTCCAATCGTTACAGGTCAGACAACGGGGGGTGACAGCATCCCGGTGGTTACTCGATCCATCCGGTCTCTTCCCCGGCATGTCGTGCGGAAGGATCAATTCGTAGGACCCGCTAAGAGGGATGTCCGACGAGTTTAGTCCCGGACATCAGATGGTGTAACCATAGGTGGTTACGCTTACTTTCTAACCGCCAGCCTCTTGCTGCTCTGTGGGCACCTGATTCCGGTGACAGTGCGTGGAGTTGTTGGGAGGCAGTCAGAACACCCTGTTCTATCATGAACATCACCACTGCCCTGAAGCCTCAGGTTTTTGAATCCGGATTCTGTCAAAACGTTGCACAAAACACGATTGGAACTCGACATTTATAGTCTCGCACCGAGTGGAAACGCGACGGCGGCGATGATAACGACGGCAACGTCCAACGGCGCCGTGGTTTCACCAACAAATACTGGTGACACCACGCCACTGATGGCACATTCCAACGGCGACGTAATTTCACCAACAAATACTAGTGACATCACGCCACCGATGGCACATTCCAACGGCGACGCAATTTCACCAATTTCGGTTCACGGACGGCCCCAACCACGAACACCAACGCTGACATGCAATGGGCGTCGTCTGAACCTCTGGGGTGGGAAATTCCATCTGCCACAGGAGAAATTTCAGTCCCCCAGTGTGAGTTTACACACAGGTTGGATCTTGTGGTTTTTGGGAAATGATTCTACACATTATCCACAGTAGTGATTTGGCGATTGAGCGGCCAAGAACATGTACGTCCATTGGAAACACGCAATGTGCCGAATGGAAGACATTTTCGAAGCCGAACCTGGTGCCAAGCCCCACGACCACGACCGTCCATATGATCGCCACGTCATCGAGTCGTTTGACGTGGTCTTTCGCGTGCTTGGCCCACAACTGACCGGACGCAACAAGAAGCGCAAACGCGACGAGACCTACCTCAAAGTCGCGACGGTATCGGGAATTCTCCACAAAATGAAGCGCTCCGCGTACTGGATAGTGTAGGTACCGGTTCCTCAAAATACATGATCACCTGGCCTTGCGTTTGTCGTGACTTACTACGTAACGTTAGTATATATACAGCTACCTTAGGCGGACTTAGCCGGCCACGACGTGCTTGTATTGGTTGAAATCCACATACTACGTTAGCCAGTGAAAACTGAGTATAGCAAAAACCTGTACACACCTTGCCGATATAGAATCCATTTTTTCTCCGAACACGGCCTAAAAAATACAAAAACGCCAGGACATGAGGGAAACATGGTATTCGGCAGATTCGTATGCTGTTTTACCGGATCAAAACTTAGAACCAAATGCTTAACCGCTTGCTGCCTTATCCGGATAGTTGTGATGTCGATGTCAATAATGCATATTTTAAGACATAAATCTTATAGAATTTTTAAATGAAGTAAAATTAAACGTGCTAGTACTTACACTGTTAATACAGAGAGTTTCAAACTACTAACGTTAGATGAAATCCAGTTATTGCGAATACCAATCCCGAATGTCCTTGTAGAAAGGACGATAAATCCACCAGAACAGACGTTTGAATGATGATATTGCGCCAGCATATTCTTCACAACACAGGGTTCTGAAATCCATGTTGCAATTCGCATCGAATGCTGATTTGAACCAATGATGGAGAGTCCAAACCAACGAATTCGTCGTTTTTTGCTCTGAATGCGTGTTGTGGATGTCAGATTCAAAAGCCAACATCCATCTACATTTCAAAGAATTTATATGTAGCAGTATGCTGATAGTGCGGTCTAACAAAATCGATTCAAATCAGAGCGGATAGCTTACTATTAGCGGCGATATCCTCGCTCAAAGGTAACAAATTTTGAATTCGGCGAAGATTCGAAGATTGGTGAATCTTCATGAATGTTTGCTAGTATGTTGCTATAGTACATACTAGTTTTATCCGTATACTTTGGATAATCGATTGCATTTGTAAACCAAGAAGCGTCGGCGACAAATACTAATTCCTCGTCCTACATGGCAACTACCAAGCGCAGCACAAGGGTTTCTTCACACGAATGGATTAATTCGTAGAATGTCATCTGAATACCATATTTCCCTCATCTCCCCGGGTCAATCCCAAATAATCCGCAACTTCAAAAGTACCACTATTGTAACAAGTTTTGGGATAGGGACCTATGGTGGAGATGCTGTCCTCTACTACTACGTAGTACGTAGTCCTAAATTAGAACATGTTGTTCTGACCGGTAGATAAGTACGGTATCATCAGTATGTGTTTCGGATACATGTTCCTGCGAAGTGCTATGTATGAAAAGCTCGTTTGAGAATTGCACATGGGAGTAGGTCAAACTAAAGTAAATGCTACTAGTATGTACTAGTACATATCACCGCTTCTTATCCTCAGAAGAATTTGTGTAGTAACTTCGTGTCGTGGCAGAACGGTTTTCAAAGGGAAGCATAAATACAGTACCAGAACTGTACAACTTCATATGGTGAAACGAGATAGTACGTATTTCGGAACGGAGAAGCTTAGTATGTTACCGATGAATGTGATATGTGTATGTTGATTTGTCTGAAATACCATCGCTTACTCATACGAGCATCTCCACCTACCGGTAGGTCTATACGTATATACAGCCAAAATGTTGAACCTGCCGAACTCCTACGTCCAGCACTATACCACATGCCTGCACAGCACAATTTCACATCAGGCCATCAACGTGGAACCTCCAATGCCACCCAACGACCACCCGCGTCACACTGCCCGCGATGATGCCTTGCTCCATCCGATTACCGCTGGCCCAACATCAGACGTCCCAATGAAAGATATCAAAGACGCAGCGCCGCATCCGATCAAATATCGCGCCGACATCGACGGCCTCCGGACGCTGGCCGTGGTGCCCGTGATCCTGTTCCACGCGTACCCTGAGATATTTCCCAGCGGATTCATCGGCGTGGACGTGTTTTTTGTCATTTCCGGCTACTTAATCTCGAGCATCCTCTTCAAAGAGTGCACCAAGGGAACATTCACGTACGGGAGCTTCTACAGCCGCCGCATCCGCCGCATCTACCCCACGCTTCTCCTCGTGCTGTCTCTAACGTTCTGGCTGGGCTGCCTCTACATGTTCTCGGCCAAACTCCAGGCGCTGGCCACGACCATGCTAGCGGGCACCATGTTCAGCGCCAACCTCCAGGTGATGCTTCTGGACCGCGGGTACTTTGACGACGACATCAAGGAGAATCCGCTTCTGCACCTGTGGTCGCTGGGCGTGGAGGAGCAGTTTTACATCTTCTGGCCGTGCTTCGTGTCCATTCTGACGCGGCTGTCGGTGCGGTCGGCCGTGGTGATGCAGGTGGTGCTGCTGGCGTTGAGTTTCACTTGCAACATCTTCTTTCTGGGCTTTCACGGCACCAACAAGTTCTCGTTCTACTTTCCCCTGAGTCGGTTCTGGCAGATGGGCGTGGGGGGGCTACTGGCGTATGTGAACCACATTCGCCTCACCCAAACCCAGTACGCGTCTGTTCCTACCAGCTCCAAACCAGTGAGCAAACCCACCAGCGACCACCAAACCACTGCCTTGTCTTGGGTTGGGCTCGGCTGCATCTTGCTGGGTTTTGCCTGTCTGGACGAATCCTCCGCCTTTCCCGGTTACTGGGCTGTTCTGCCCACACTGGGAGCCGCCCTCTTGATCTTCGTAGGTCCTACTCCATGGTTTAACCAATCGGTGCTCAGTCTGCCGTCCATGGTGTTTGTGGGCAAGCTCAGCTACGCCCTGTACTTGTGGCATTGGCCACTATTAGTGTTTGCAAAGTTGCGGTTTCCTAACCCGGACCTCCGGCCCAACTACATGACACCCATGGCAATGCTCGGGTTGGCGTTTGTCTTGAGTCTGAGCTCCTTGTACCACGTTGAAAACAGCTTGAGAAGACACAAGGGTCGGTGGGTTGTGCCAGCTCTAATGGGTTGCATGCTGGGCATGTCCATATTGGCAGGGATCATCCTCGCAAGTCCAGACTCGTTCTCGTACTCACAGCAAGCCATGGATGCGCGCGCGGTGTTGACGCCCAATGTCACAGTCGGCCTGGTGCCAGACATCCCCAACGTCAGTCGCGAGAATGCCCCAAAAGAGCCGACGCATGCTTCGATCAGCGCGGCGGAGCTCGACATTCTGCCAGACATTGGGCTTCCTATTCCCAAGCAGCACATGGTCGAGTACAGTGCCGAAGGTCGTCTGATCAACCCCGGCCAAGAAGACCGGGCGCTCGTGATCGCTCTGGGAGATGCGCACTTGGACATGGTCAAGCCGCGGTTCCACCAGCTGGCGTTGCACACCAACCCCATCGACTTTCCCACCATCGCATTCAAGTCGTCCGTCAACACGACGCTGACCAAGTGCATCTGGTGGCCAGACTACGATATGATCAAAAAAGTCCAGCCGAATGTCGTGTTTATGAGCATCAACTGGCTCGCGCATCTGCATCCGGGGGGGGCTGCGTCGCAGCCAGCACACGAGAACCCGCCGTGCTGTCTGCAGGGCTACGGCGACTCGTGCATGGGTCAGAGCCCTAAAGACGTCGAAGCCATTTTGACGCGGTTCCAGAGGGACCTCACCGACATGGTAACTCTCGGGGCTAAGGTGTTTGTGACGACTATCACCCCCGAAGGCAACGAGTTCGACCCCAAGTTCATCTTGGACAGCTCTGTGCGCAGCGTGAACCGCTCCGTGTTTCGAACCAACCACAAGTGGCTGATTGACCTCGTGGAAGGCGCGATCACTGGAGCCAGCGCCACCGTCATCGACTACTCCGAGAATTTGTGCTGGGAGGACACGTGCAGAGTGGTAGACTCGAGCGGCGTGCCCGTCCGGCGCAACTCGAACGTGTTCACGCCCAAGTTTGCAGCAAAGTATCTGAGTGTGCTGGACCAGGTGGTGGCCGCCGCCGTGGCAACCCCCGACGATATAATCGGGTCCTCCGATGCCCCCAACTCGAACCGGTTCAGTCGGATTGCTAACCCTTCGTACGACAAGATCATGGCCGCCCCTAAGGACTTTATCGTGGACGTGGGCTTTGCACCCGCGCCCGCTGACGGTCCCTTCGGCACCACCCACCTGACCATGATTATGAACCCTAACCAGTCAAACCTCGTGTTTGCCTACGGCGATTCGCACGCGAATCAGGTCAAGCCGCGGTTTCTACGGTCGTTCCAGGACAGGCACGGCGCCCGCAACCGGTCCAACTTCCCCACAGTTGTGTTCAAAACATTGGACGGGACACCCGCCTTGACCTGCCAAGAGCACTACGATAGTGTCATGGCAGTGGTGGAGAAAGTTCGTCCGAAAGTGTTTCTGCACTCGATGAACTGGCCCCAGTTCCTCCGCCCTGGGGGATTGGACTCAGACCAAAGCGTTGCGCCTACGCCTAAGTGCTGCAAGATGGGATACCAAGACAAGTGCACGTACCAGCGCCCCAAGGACGTGGTGACCATCATGAAAAAGTTCCAGCAAGACATGACCAAGTTGACAGGGCTGGGCATCAAGGTGTTTGTAGCCACCATCAACGTGGAAGGTGAACAGTTCAACCCGTATCACATGCTCAGCGGCAACGACGTCGGCGACGTGAGTCCCGTGTCCAAGGCCGCATTTCGACTAAAACACAAGTGGCTACTGGGGCTGATCGAGAAGGCCACCGCGGCTGCCAACGCCACTTTGATAGACTACTCGGACAACTACTGCTGGAACGACTCGTGTGGGGTGGTGGACGACCTCGGACGACCCATCATGAAGGACACCAACCACTTGACGCGGACGTACACGCACACGTACCTCGGCGTCATCGACCAAATCGTCGATGTCGCCATGAAGATATGACTTCTCGCGCAGACTCTATTGAAGCGATTGTCTCGATTGTTTGAGTTAACAATAAGCTTATACATATAACGTTCTATAATCTACATGAATCGTTGAGAATTTGGTAACTGTGGGCGAGTACATCACTTAAATTAATTACGGAGTAGTTGTTTCTTT